TACCTCTCTCTCTCTCTCTCTCTCTCTCTCTCTCTCTCTCTCTCTCTTAAAAGCCAACAATTTTCTTGCAGCCCACCATTTTCTTTCAATACCCTTTAATTTTTTCACTTCACCATGAGTGATCCACCACACTACTCAAATCCCTACACTAACTGGTTCAAACCCAACAATCTCCACCATTTTTCCACCACTTCATCAAATCCTCCAAACACACAACAAAACCTCCACTCAAAAACCATCATCATCAACCAAACAAACAACAACATAATCAATTATTACAGCCATCATCATCATCATCATCATCATCATCAAACCCCACCTTCATCACCTCCATTAAAGGAAGCCCTCCCCCTTCTGAAACTAACCCCCTCAACACCAAACCATGATATTGAAGATCAACCCAAAAACCAGCCAAAGATTCAATCTTTTTCACAAACCCACATGGATAATAATATTATTGGAGATGATAATAATGGTGTCACAGTTGCTCTTCATATAGGGTTACCAAACCCTAGCCCTGCTGACCTGGAATCCTTGATGTCCTCTTCTTACAACAATCATGAGAATAATGGAGACAATAAAGATGAAGAGGAAGATGGTGATAATTTGTTGTCTGTGATGAATAGGCTCAACAAGGGACAGTATTGGATTCCTACACCTTCTCAGATTCTCATTGGCCCAACACAATTTTCTTGTCCTGTTTGCTTCAAGACTTTCAACAGATACAATAACATGCAGGTGAGTTAGCTTGTTAGTCTGATCAGTTTCACTTGCAAATTTTCAGTTTTTATCTAATTTTGTGTTCTTGAAAAATTTGATTTTTTTTTTTTTTTGTGTAATTATTTTCTAAAGTTGGTATCTTTGTTTTGTTTCTTATGTGGGATCTTCTTCTTTTTTTCTAATTCTTCCTCAATAATCTTGAAATGTATTAATTGCATGGACATCATAAGTAAAATGGAACAACTTTATAAAGAAGATGATATTATTATGTCTTTAACATATATGTTATGCAATAAAATAAATTTGTGTCCCATGGGATGAGATTCTTGAATTTTAATTAGCTCATGTGTCATCAATCTGTTGATGTCTAACCTGATACTGAGACTAATTTTCAGCTACTTTTTTTTTTAAAAAAAAAATGGGGAGAGGGGTTCATTTCATTTATGTGATTGAACAACTCAAGCAATGTTCCTTATGCTTGGTATCCAAAGTACTGATCAGCTTTGAAATCTGTGATATATAACACAAATTGGGAACTGTGTTCAACTGAAACTTCTATCTGTTGCTAGGGATTTTTAGATTAATCAATCTTCACTGTTTTTTTTCCAAACCCATCTAAAGGACTTGAAAAGCCCATAACTAAAAAGATTTCCAATCAAAATGAAAATGAAATTAAATAAATATAGCTTCACTTTGGAAATTGTTCCTCCATAGCCATAGGTACCACATATATTTCTCTCATTTTTCCTTTTTTCCCTTACAATATTCATTAATCTTTTCTTTTTATTATTTGTTTCGAATTTTAAAATGAAAAGGCAGGGCACTTTTTTGAAGTGAAGCTTAAAAATAAGAACAAACAATTTGCAATATGAATAGAATAATCTTTATCTCTAGAGTCTTGAATACGTACATTAATACATAAATTTACCTATTATCTTGTCCTTCTTCACCTTTATTTATTTTATTTTATCATATTTTTTTTGGTTTAGATAATTGTTCTTATTAATCCAAAGGAATTTTCTTTTCACAAGAATTGACCAATGCAAGCCCAAATTAAGGTCAGAAACAATAAAGCATATTAATGCACATGTAAAGATTCGTCTTTTTATAAGTTATAGGATAGGATGAAAAAGGTGGGAAAATTTTTTGAAAAATAAATTACCTCCCCAAACCCCAATCCTCACTAATCATGAACCATTATCACCATTCTTTGATTAATCAGTGTAAAAAATTATTTATTTATTTATTTGTATAGATGCACATGTGGGGCCACGGCTCGCAATACAGGCGTGGGCCCGAGTCCTTACGAGGCGCTCAACCAACCGGCATGCTTCGACTCCCGTGCTACTGCTGTGCCCTCGGGTGCCGCAACAACATCGATCACCCGAGGGCAAAGCCGTTGAAAGACTTTCGAACCCTACAAACGCACTACAAACGGAAGCACGGGATAAAGCCCTTTGCTTGCCGCAAGTGCGGAAAAGCGTTTGCGGTTAGAGGCGATTGGAGGACGCACGAGAAGAATTGCGGAAAGCTTTGGTACTGCATTTGCGGCTCGGATTTCAAGCACAAACGGTCGCTCAAGGATCACGTGCGGGCCTTCGGGCAAGGGCACGGGGATTGCGGTGGGCCCGCGGGTGATGAGGAGGACGAGCCCGCGTCAGAAGTCGAGCAAGACGATGATCGATGATTTTGTGATTTTTTGTGTGTGTTTGTGTGTGTTTGGTTGGGGAATAAGAATGTGAAGGTGTGGTATTATATAGGTGTGTGTTGAGGTAATTAGGGGTTTATGTTGTTATTCTTGTTTTTTTTTTTCTAAGTATTTGTAGTTTAGGGAGTGTGTTAGCATATATTGTCTCTTAAAAGAAGTGATGAGGTTATGAAACATTTCTTTTAGAGTTTGCAATATGTATTGCTTAACTTAGTTCATTATTATATATAAGGACATGATTTTGGCTTAGGATTAATTGATTCATATCAAGGTTCTTCTTCTTTGCGGTTCTTTCTTTGGGTGTTGTCTTGTGGATCAAATTCATGAGGACATATAAATAATGCAACTTATTTAATTTCTATTTTTATATATATAGTTAAATATTTATATAGTAATTTTGATTATAAGATCGACGATCAAAGTTTATATCATTGTAAATATTAAATGAGTAGGCCTGCCTGGTAAATCGTTTAAACTTTGCAAATTCGATATATATCTTGATCTATATGAATGAGTCAACCTTTTCTAATTACAAATTGTTTTATTCTTTACGGTAGATGTCTCTTGATCTGTATGAATGGATCGACCGTCCTAATTATTAGTGGCAAATCATTAATTTAAACCTACAAATATACGATATATTTAGGATTGAAGCCTTGAAGCATATGCATATATCCTAATTAATTCCTATGTGATTTCCATTTTAGTCATTATATGATCATGGCTTTTTATTTAACCGCTAGTATGAATCCTTTTTAGCTAAATGTTTGAGTTAGTCACTTCACCGTCCGAGTTGAAGGGGCCGAGTGAAATCAATACTCACTTCAAATTTAATTTCCTCATCATGATTATTAGTAAGAGACAGTTATGAGTATTAGAACCAAAACAAATATAATCTTTTTTCTATTGGAGACATTGCCCCATAAATTGCGGGAAAGTATATCGAAGTGGTCCGGCAATAGTTCACCCAACATTTATTTTCATTCAACCAAGTTTTTTCGAATAATTAATTTATGCGTGGAGCAAATCATATTCTCCCACAGTTCCATAATTTCATATTTAAATACCATGTTTTAAAATAACGTAAATAAAAATGTAATATTTAATGTTATAAATATTCATTTATTGTAAAGAAGTTTGGCTAACTAAGGGTCAAGTAACTTGACGGCAACATTTGTGTCTGTGTTGTATAGATTAAGTAATTTATTGTAAAAAAATTATAATTGGCTCACGGTAAGATAGCATAACAATAGTATTTTGTGATTATACAATCATAAAATACTATTTTATGCTACAATCATAAAATACTATTGTTATTTTATCTTACCGTCAGCCAATTATATATTTTTACAATCTAAACAGAATTTAATTAAACACACGTGCTTTGCCTTTTATGATTAAATTATTGCAAGAATTAACTCTTGAAATATTTAAGTAAGCTAGAGTTTTTGCTAACTACAAATAATCACTTCTTTCAAGTGTTTCATGGCACTACTTAATTAATAAAATATTGTTTATGTTCAAGTGAAACTACTACATATTATTAGTATAACTATATAACATATAGTGAATCTTATGTTGGACTTGGAAATAGTTGTTGAGGATCTCAAACAGCTATGAACTCCCTTTTTTATCTTTCTCCAAGTGCTTAAATATTAGTTATATGTAGCCTAATCCAAAAGGAATCAAAAGAAACTAAGAGGTGAATAATGAAGTGAAACTACTTGATTTAGTCAGTGAATGAGAATATATTTGGTCTTATAAATAAAACTATATATATATATATATCAAATAGTATATACACATTATTTCTTATATCTAAACTCTATTATTATTATATATAGTCTTTTTCTCATGCAAATAATAGCAGCTTTTGGGTTACATATCATGATCTGCCTTTTGCTTTGGCTAGTGGGAGATAGATATAAATAGGTCAGGTCATAGATGGAACTTATACCACATACAAAATATACGAGATTTGCCTTTAAAATTTATGCAACACAAATGATTAGCCAAGTGTGTGTCAGAGAAAGATTAGCTTCTTATGGATTATCATTTTTTTTTAGATATAATAATAGAAAAATACACATCTAGGAGCACCTTGAATCAAATTAATTCACAATTAAATCTTCTTGTTTATGCTAGCCAAATAAATAGCTTATTTCTATTACATTTTAACAATGCCAATGTTAAATTTTGGAAATATTAGAATTACATGCAGAAATTAACAAGTGACACATAAACGATAAATTCAACAAAAATTAAAAATTGTATCCGACACCAACAAACATTTGAAAATAAAAATCTAATTACATATTGTACCAAAAAAAAAATAAAAAAATCTAAATAAATAAAGCATGAATGGGCCTTAAGCTATTAGAATGATGAGTCTCGCATTATGAAAAATTCACTACAAGACAACTTGCAAAGACCGTGGAGCCAAAGTATGAAATTTTTCTATTTTTTTCTCTTCAAGGTATTAATTGTACAAATTCTGCTTCCCAAAAAAGTTACTGTTGCCTGCAACATATGCCCATACAAATAAGTACGTAACACAATCCCCTCAAATATTAAAAAGAAAAATAATAACAAAATGAATCAAGGGAAGAAGGGTAAAACAAAAATTAAAATTAAAATACTGTAGATTGATACGACATTTCATAGACTATCCTTTGACTCAAAAACACTTTATTGAAATATAATTTCATGCTGTAATTAAAAGTCACATATATTTTAAAAATAATTTAACTTATATGTATTATTGTGCATATTGAATTAATTAATGCGTTGAAATTAGTATCGGGTTGTCAGAGGAGACCAAGAATCAGAACAAGAAGGAATTATGCGTGTATAAATGTGTGTGTTTTTATCCTTATGCTTTGTTTGTGTATTCGTATTCCCTAAACATGTAGGAGACATCTTTGTCCCCCTATGCCACCATACACCTTCTAACTTTCCACCAAATTAAAATTCTTATTTCATTCATATTTATAGAATCTATGCATTTAATATTTCTCAATCCCAATATAAAGACCATTTCATATAATAATAATAACAATAATAATGCCAATAGTATGTTAGGTCAACCTAGGCATTATCTGACATAATTTTCTCATAAATATACATATTTTTCATTAGAAAATGTCATAGTTTAAAAATAATATAATCAAAACTATGCATATTATTCACATAGTATTACAGGTCGAGTGGTCGACTAGTTTAATCGACATATACTGTATTGATATAAGAATTTGTGTAACTATATATTGTATTGATAGATGTCTATAAGTAGTAGTAATAATGTGTAAAAGTAACTTGGCCCATCTTATTTTAGTTTATTAATTATGCTCCATAGTTAATTGTTTAATATCAAGTTATTTTTCAAATGAAAACATTAAAATACGAGATTGTTGGTGAGACAACTTTTGTACATAGGCCCCCAAAAAAACAAACAAAGATAAAGAGGTAATAAAGAGCACAAAATCATTTGTTGACTCATGATCGCATTTGAAAAAAGAGAAATAATTAAGCTGTTTATAATTAATTGTCACTTCCAAATAAATGTTTGAAGAAAAAAGATAGCAAAAGGCCCTCTTATATATCCCCCAAAGATCTTCTTTGCACTTATATCATTATCCATATGAATCATGACATGCTCTTTGATTGATAAAGCAAATTAAGCCTATCTTCTTGTTGGAACTGTATTTTGGTATATAAAAAAAAATAAAATCCTCATTGTAAAGAAATTAATTGTATGTAGTTTCATGTAAAATGTTTCAATTATTCATGTGGTTTTTCTAATACTTAATCACTAGGCAATTTAGGTGATAAATAAGAGGCCACACTAATTGAGTACGCTTTTCCCTTTAAAAAAGAGACCTTTCACCAGCTACTTGGTAAGATAATTTTCCTGATATATAAAAAAAAATTATCCTTTTTTTTCGGTTGTTATGTCTAATGTAAAATTTCAAAATAAAAAAATTGCATTTCACACAATAGTGAGTATATATTTTTGTTTAAATGATGAATCTATTCAGCTAACTGTTGACTCAATCGTTAAGGATGAGTGCAATGCAATGATTAGTTGTGGCCTCTCCATATATATCTAAATTGGAGCTGTGCTGTGTATTGCTTTTTCTGTGGTGATCTTTAATTTAGGTAAATCAGTTGCTTTTGTTCAATATTTTTCCAAAAGTTGACAAATTGCATTTGCCTCACAAAACTTCTTTTTTCTCAGTAAAGGTAAAAATAATGATTAGTACAACGTAGGTAGCTTTTATATCAAATCTCACATTTAACGTTTTCACCTTTCTACAGACAATAATTGTACCTAAATGCAATTGCATGCTTGGGTTATATCTTAAATAAATTCAAGTCCATATCTTATTTTCCTCATTAATTGAAGAAAGGAAAATCAAGTTGGCATTGAAACAATAAATGAATTTTGTTAATCAATTCAATGTGCATGCATGTAGATGTAGTATACTTTGATTTTATTTGTTTATTTATTTAATTTTTTTATTCAATTAAGAAAACTATATGTCTTTGGGCTTCAGAAATGGATGAATTTGTCGAACCTCTATTTTGTCAAATATCGTCAGTCATTATAACATAAGTGGGCTTGATATATGTATGTATTGGGTCATCCAATCTCCTATATTTCCGAGCTGTTAACTTGGGCTAGGATAGGTTTCATTGGGCTTAATCTGGGTATGCATATTTTCTTGTTGATGCAGAAAAGTTCAGGAAAACGCAAAAATTAAAAGAAAATATCGTATTGTTCTCCTCAATTTGATGAAATTAATAAGTGGAATAGTTTCAGAATTTTTCCTTAAAATTCATCTAAAAAAAAAAAACTAAACTACGTGCTATATTGTTCACACTATTGTTTCTGTAATTATCATTTACATCCAAGTAATTATATCAACTATTGTGGTCTCATGTTTCAGTTACTAATTGCATCAAGTTTACTATCTTTGCTAGGAATAGCTATTGTAGGACCAATTACAGAGGTTATTTAGAGGATTTATCCATCCAAACCTCCAATTTAATTGTTTGGTAAATAATAATTTAAATTGGCTTTTGAATTTAAAAAAAAGGCTATTTTCAAATACTCTACATAATCAACTAAGTCAACCAGGTATCAAAGCTACTATTAAGAGTCAGCAATGTGATGTCAATTAATTCAATACGACCAGCACTATCTCCTAAATGCCTATCAAGACCAATATAAACATTTGTATAAAAGTAATGTGATGTAAAGTTTATGTCATACTTTATGATTATGAGTGAATTTGGTAAGGACCATTTATGATTAGCTTATAACTTGTTTGGTTAGCTTATACTTATTTTGTTAGTTTATAAGATTCTTATATTTAAATAAGTTTAATTTGGTAAAACGAACTTTTTAAAAAGCACGTACTTATCTCATAAATTTTCTTAAGTAATTTTTCAAATAAAGTTATTGATTTATTTTTTTTTTTATTTCAACTCACTTATCAACTAACTTTGTTAAACATTTTATCATATAAATTAGTTTTCAGTCATAATAAGTTATCTAAATTCTAAAATCACTTATCAACTTTCAAGTAACTTATTAGCTAAATTTAGACTATCATCCTCTGGTATATGAAAGTTTGTCATAATTTTATGATTATATCATCCTCTAGTGTTCCTTCTAACTAATAAAATAGAAAAGAACTGTAAATAGCATTGTCCACAGAATTATTTCCAAATGTTGTTCCACTTGTCACCACCTTAAAGAATTTTCGGATTCTTTCTTTGTTCTCCACACAAGAACAGCGATGCTCAGACACGCTACAAACACAACCACCACAAACCTAAAGATTCACGTCGGCTTACTCTTCTGAATCAATTTTGTTCCTTTATACCTGTTTTTCTTCACAAAACAGAGCTCAAAATAAAATCTTTCAGTACAACGGGACATGAAAATGGAGCCTGTCAGCACAAATCTTGATCGTAGCTTGTCAAAGCTCTCGCATTTCACGAACTTTCCCTCAAAACCCACCTCGAAACTGCTGCCATTGTGTCGATTTCCGAAATTTATCAGTGGGAAAACCAAGAATCTCAGAGGTAAGACTGTTCAGTGCTCGGGTCAGGACAAGGGCAGCTCATCAGTAGCTCGAAATGGATGTTCTTTATATGTAAATAAGGATTTTGTTAAGAGGGTTTTGAATGGAGCGTTTGGTTTTGCTGCTGCGTTTTCTCTGTGTTCCGATTCGCCGTCGTTTGCGGAGTCTTTAACTGTGGCATTTCCTGTTTCTCACACGCGTGAGGTGATTTGAGTTTTTGTAGTTTTCACATTTTTGGGATTTTAGTTCTTTTTATTGCCAAAGATTGCATTTTTATTCATGTTATGTGCTGAGATGAACATTTTCTTGGGATTTTGCGATTAAATAGATTTTTTTTTTCTTGGCTTGGTTTTATGTTTGATAGGTGAATACAGTTCAAAGAACTCTCATAGAGGCATGGGGTTTGATTCGGGAGACCTTTGTCGATCCAACTTTCAATCATCAAGGTAAGAATTTAGTTGGTGCTGTCTGAACAAGTAAAAAGTAACTGAGAATCAAAAGTTTGGTGTCTAATTTAAAGATGTCTTATTTGTGTACACAAACAGTGATAGTTAAAATCCTTTTCTTCTAAGTCAGCAAAAATTCCCTAAGCTTGCTTTGACATTACACAGTGAGAGGAAATGAGGTTTAGATTGTCTTATATGTGTGTGTGTGTGTGTGTTTGTGAACATTACATTGTGGTTGAATTTGTAATTATATGGTTTTAGTCCTTTTTTCATGATGTTTTCAAATACACCAACTAAGTAATGGGCTAATACAGATTGGGACTTAAAATTGCAAGAAACGATGGTTGAAATATTTCCACTGAGATCAGAAGATGCTGCGTATAATAAAATCAAAGGGATGCTTTCCACTCTCGGTGACCCTTTTACGCGCATCATTAGTCCTAAGGTATTATTTATTACTTTCTTAGTGCATTTACGTATTTTCCAACTTTTATCCTGTGATCCAAACTAATAATGGCTACTTATATTGTTTAAAATCGCAGGAATATCAAAGTTTCAGAATAGGAAGTGATGGGAACTTGCAAGGTGTTGGCTTATTTGTCAGTGCTGAGCCGAAGACTGGGCACATGGTGGGTTTGACACGATTACTAGATATTCTTTTAAGCATTACCACAAAATTTAACATCTGAAAATATGTGTGTAATATTCGCTGTAAGTACATATGTGGTAATTCTCACTGAGGAGTGATAATTTTATTACTGTGTAGTTCAGATTCTTGATGCCATCCTTAATCGTGAATTTGAAACTTGACCTTTGTGTTATGTTAAAAAATCATGATTGACAAGAAATGCATATTTGCAGGTTGTTTTGTCGTGCATAGAGAATAGCCCAGCCGCGCGGGCTGGCATTCATGAAGGGGATGAGCTAGTGGAGATAAACGGTACTTCACATAACTGCTAAACTTTGGATGAAGAAAAAAAAAAGGAAAAATAAATAAGGTGATATCTAGACGTGTATGGCTTGTCTAATATTGACATTAGGCTTGTCAATATATTTTTATTTTGGGGTTTTTTCAATACAAGGCCTGAAAGATAGGTAAACTATCAGATCGGGGCTTAAAAGATTTTTTTTTTCTCAATTCGGGACCTAAATGTTATAAAACTATCAAATTAAGTCCTAGAATTAACAAAATCCATAACACCATTAAATTGAGAGTTAATTTGAAGTTTTAAAACACCAAATCTGTTAAATTTAATGGTGTTATGGGTTTTGTTAATTCTAAGACTTAATTTGATAGTTTTATAGCATTTAAGTCCCGAATTGAGAAAAAAAATCTTTCACGCCCAGATTTGGTAGTTTACCCATCTTTCGGGTCTTGTATTGAAAAAACTCTTTTTTATTTTATATGTGACTGGCTACACTCAGACTTGTCTAAGTTGCTATTTCCAATTGGCACATATTGATCTGTTATAGATTTTTTGTTTCATTATGGGAAAAGTAATAAAAATGTGGAATGAATAAATTCCTTGAGACAAATCAGGTGAAAGACTTGATGGTGTGGCAAGTGAAGCAGCTGCCCAAAAGCTTAGAGGACGAGTTGGTACAACTGTCACCGTAAAAGTTCACAGTGTGAGTATATACATTGTAATTTAAGATGAATATTTCATATTAGATCTTTAGCTGTTATAAATCCAATATGGCTATGTTCGAAAATTTCCGTTGAGTTTTTTAACAGACATTTTTATATTTTTCAGGTCGATGCCTTGGGGAATTCTCATGTCAGAGAGGTATAGGTATCTCGAAAGTGCAATATAATACAGTCCATTTGCTGGTAAACAGTGAAAGATAGCTGATTTTTGGAAAATACTATTCTCAAAGGTTAAAATACCTCGTGAAGTAATAAAGCTTTCGCCCGTATCTAGCGCCATTATCCACCACAGAGCACCTGACGGGCATCTTTCCAAAACTGGATATGTGAAGCTGTCAACTTTTTCTCAGGTACGTTAATTCGTGTTTATTTATAGTATTTAAAAGGTCATGATAAACAGTCATTTCGTGTTGTGAGACGAGTAAAAAATGGGATTCGTAAAAAGAAAAAAAAAATTGTGAAATTATCCTAAATATGACAGGCTGCTGCAGTGGAGATGGAAAACACAGTTCATGAGATGGAAAATCAAGGCGTGCAGTCGTATATTTTGGATCTCAGAAATAATCCAGTAAGAATAATTTTTTCTCGTAGATAATTGCGAAAGTACCCTTCGAATTTGGTCTAATTATAGAAGAGACCTATAAATGTTCGTTTTTTCTCCTCATTACTATTTATAGGGAGGTCTGGTAACAGCAGGACTTGATGTAGCTCAAATTTGGCTAGACGGGACTGAAACCCTAGTGAACACTATCGACAGAGATGGAAATATGTTGCCTATTAACATGATCGATGGTCATGCTATAACTCACGATCCACTTGTCGTTCTTGTAAAGTCCCATATCAGAGATTATATTAGTCTATTCTCTTCTTGTTTTTTCACTGATGAAAATATATCTTAGCTAGGTTCTTTAGTCATAGGAAGCTACTAAATGTTCTTTTTTTATTTTTTTTGGTTTTTCGAATAACTTTTGAGACAGGTTAATGAAGGGAGTGCAAGCGCCAGTGAGATTCTTGCGGGAGCACTTCATGACAATGGTCGAGCGACTCTCATTGGGCATAAGACTTTCGGGAAAGGGAAAATACAGGTTTTTGACAATACCTTGTTGAAAAACAAATGGATTGCAATCTGTATAAATGAATCTTTATGGGATATTTTTGTAGTTTTTGAAAAGATAAACTGTATGCTAAACTTCAAATACTTTTTGTTAACTAAGTGTCATATCATTGCAGAGTGTGACAGAGCTGAATGACGGATCTGCCCTTTTCATTACGGTGGCTAAGTACTTATCACCGGCACTTCACGACATTGATCAGGTCGGTATAACTCCCGATGTACAATGTACAACCGATTTTCTTAATTCACCGAAAGATTCTTTCACGAAGAATGTTGGAAGCCCGATTTCATCTCTGGAAAGAGATTCTTGTATCTTAGTAGCCGAGCACCAGCTCGATATCCAACAATCCACATCCAAAGGCTCGGCTTCTTGATAAGCTTTGATCAGCCTTACAAAAGGGTTATTACTAGGTTTATGTAGTCTTGTGACTCAAGTCACAAACAGCAGCTTGTAAATTTAGTCTGCAAATGTTATCAGAATTTATTTTGAAAATTATATGCTGAAAATATCAGGTGAAAAGTATAGGTTTTGGTGATATTACCTTCATAAATTCATATGAAGTTGAGGGTGGGTTATAGGGCCTTTGGTTATTTACTTCACTTAAAACTTGAAGAATCTGCTTTTGGTTTGTTACTTAGCCTCAAAATGTGATGTTACATCTTGCCAGATGAAAGGGAAGTAGTGTGCTCTAAGTAAAGAGACGGCATCATTCTTTTCTCCAAAATATTAGCAGACATTTTAGTTTTCTTTTATGGCAACAATATCCCCCAATCGAGTGGGATAGAATTTGAAAACATAACTAGAAAGATAAAAAAAATAAAAAAAAAATGAATTTGTGTGGAAATAACTGTAATAGTTCCCTTGGAAATATTCACGTTAACATGTAAAAGTACTCATAAAAAATATCAATTCTCCATCAACAATATAGCACCTTGTGAAAGGTCTGTAAGACCACTACAGTTGCAAACTCACGGTATGAACTCATAAACACCATCAGCTTTNATATGAATTCAAGTTCAGAGAAAATAAAATGTAAATTTCTAATATCAACACACTGATATGAAATTCATGATACAGTATACATAAGAGTCGCATCAAGCTATCATCAAGCAAAAAAGATGATAGACAACAAGCAGCCTTCAGAGTAGCAAAAGGAACCCCCCAAAAAAAAGGAGGGAAAAACAATCAAACCGGTTTTTCCCAGAACCAATCCTAAACAAAGCAACTCAGTATCGATTTTTCGATAGCCAAACAAGCACATTCACACTCAAGAAAAACACCACACTTTTTTTTTACAGAATAAGTTACTGCAAATCAAAACAACCCCATTAAAGCATCCTATCAAACCTATGTTTCTTTAGCAAGCTTCTTTTGAGCATTCATCAAACTTTTTGTCAGCAAGATTGCCGTCTCCCTGGACGACACTATATCATCTCCAAACGGCTTTAGCACGCCATTAAGCTCGTCAAATTTGTCCTGTTTGAGCAATTTCGCACACAATTCAAGCAGAGACTCCAGAGCATCAGCTTTCTCTAACCTCACATTAACACTCGGTTCTTTATCGACTTTTCCCTGCGTATGGAGATTATTATCCTCTGGTTTCAACTTTGCTTCCCCAGTCACGTGGGCCCGACGAGCTAGCTCCAAATCAACAACCTTTTCAATCACTGCATCAGTGTTTCCCCATTTATTATCGGGGCCACTTTCCAAAGAAGAAACCACGGGATTACCCTTGATATCCCCATTGATTATCCGGGCTCTGTCCCCACTCTTCGAATCCTCACCATCGCTCGAGATTTTTCCGGAATAGCTTGTGGGGTCCACACGTTTGGTCTCGAGATGGACATCTATCGAGAAATCAGTGTCGTCCAGTAGGTTAGGATAGCATGCACTCATTGCACTGTTATTTTCATCGAATAATGGGAGAAGTTCCTTCTGCTGTTTAACTTTTGTTCGTCTCTGTTTGTGGTCTTTTGACTCTTTTGTACAAGAAGAACAGCCGGGAGATGAGTTTCCCGTTTTATCCTTGGTATTGTTTGTTGAGGGGGATTTTACGGGGAGAAAAACAGTTGAGAGGTTATGGCATTTAAGGACATACGGCTGCAAATGCGGGTGTCGTAATAAATCTGCAGCCTATTACGTGCATATATATATTAATCACCAAAACTAAGGGAAAAAAAAAAGAAAAAGAAAAAGAAGAAAAAAGGTGGAGAAATGAGTTAAAGAAGAAAGTGTAGAAGTATGAACATACCGTGGGCCTATGTTCGGGACTCTTCCTCAGCATGCTCTTTATTATCTGTTTTCTGAACATTTTTGAAAGTCTATTTGTCAGTTTTAAGTTTTTCATCATTTTATGGCGTAAATATAAAGGCTTCTGTCGAGAATGCATGTCACGCATGAAACTTAAAAAATACTTACAGATTGGAAGAGTATACTATGGGCAGTGGGGAGATCAAAGACCGGTTTATCTTGTTGATAAGTCCAGCCATATCCTATTTCATTCACATGTTCCAAGAGTTTCAGCTATATAAAAGCCTCAATGGGAAAGAACTTAGTCTAATCGCAAATGAGAAATATCCCGTGTATAAAATTAAGCAACTGTTGGGAACTTACAGGAGCTCGAAATGCTTGTTGACGTGCAGCCATCTCAAACATACAGCAGCCTAGACATAAGAAAGGTAGCATTTTAAAATTGAAAACATGAAAAATTCAACAAAAAGATTGACATAATAACCTGCAGAA